TTTCATTTAATTCAATTTTATATATTTAATAAGTGACGACTATCATGAATAAATCAAATTAATACAGTACATATGGTAGATTTGTTTAAGTAATTAGCTCTTGATATAAACGCTCTCATTCTAATGAATCAATAAACAACACTCTTTGACCTACTAACCTATACAGCAGAGCAAAATATCATATGTGCATTCATGTTGCTTTGATTTTGATTTATATATTTTAAAAATATAAAACGAAACATCCAGCTTAACGCTGGCGAATCTTAAATTTATACCATGACACCCTCCCTTCAACAGCCACTAAGACACATCTGAGTGGGGTTGTCGGTTTAAAATGAAAAAAAAAAACAAAAAAACAAATACAGCAGTTCTGTTTCCATTGTATCATATGTGCTTATTATGTACCTGGTATGTCTGAACATGAATGTGTCTATGAAATATTAACACTGTCACCAGAGATATCAGCTGGCTCTTGCATTTCTATTCTTGAACTATTTTACAAAATACAATATCACTATCATTATATCATAAAATTAATCTGTTAAATTATCAAACTTAATCTATTTTCAAACAAAAATTTCCAACTGAAATGTGAAAATTGCTGCAATGCTTCAATAAGACTTGGGCTACGGTAGAACAGTTATATTTGAATATATTTGAAGATAGATAAAAGTCTATGTTTGAGTAAAAAAAAATTACCGTACCGAAAATGACTTACCCAGGGTGAAGAAAACCTCTGATATTTGTCAACTACACTAGTTGGTCGTAGTTAGCAATCACTGCTTGAGTAGTCAGAAACACAATAGTCAGCAACACTCTGATTGTGTAACTAGCAAAAGATACATTGACTGTAGTCAGCAATACTCTGATGGTGTATCCAGCAATACTCTGATGGTGTAGTCAGAACACTCTGATTGTGTATTCCGCAATTATGATAGTGTTCACCAACACTGTACGTGTCAACCAAAGTTGTTAGTTGTACCATAGAGAAAATAGAACAGTAGTTGTACGCGGGCATCTACCGAGATATACCGGATGTATGCCAGTTGATATTAAGGTTAAAATACCGGATGCATGCTAGTTACGAAAGCCTATTAGGGCCACTAAAATATATATTTTTATGTCGTAATTACGACATATTGTATCATATGTTTTAATTTCGGCTTGTGATAACGGATTATTTCGTTATTACACGGATTACTTGTCATATTTAATTGGTAAAACACGTGGAGGAGTCAGAAACACAATAGTCAGCAACATTCTGATTGTGTATTACTAGCAAAACATACATTGATTATAGTCAGCAATACTCTGATTGTGTATCCAGCAATACTCTGATGGTGTAGTCAGAACACTCTGATTGTGTAGTCCGCAATAATATAATAGTGTAGTTCACCAACACTGTACGTAGTCAACCAAAGTTGTTAGTTGTACGCGGGCATCTACCGAGATATGCCGGATGTATGCCAGTTGATTTTATGGTTAAAATACCGAATGTATTCCAGTTACGAAAGCCTATTAGGGCTACTGAAATATATATTTTTATGTCGTAATTAAGTATTATATCTTCTCTACTTAAGGAGTAATTGGCACGGAAAAAAATTGACTTTCTGTATGAGTACATGCATACTCGCGGTATTGAAGATGAATTTATACAAAAACTAATGGACGAAAAGGTAAATTTAATTTTGAAAAATACCACAACCATCATCAATTGCATTTAAACAAGTTGAAGATGACCGGTGGTTTGTCTGTTTTATGTTGCAATATTGAAAAAGAGGTTGATGTAGACATACTCGCCACATTATCACATATAAATTCTCTCATCGGTTTTTGTGCCTTCCATTTTATAGTTTCATCAGCATATGAAATGATTACATGTGACAATTTTGGTAGTGTTTTCAGGCTAGACTTGAAAGACCATTGAAGGTGAAGGCCCAATTCCATTTCAATTGTGGCAATCTATCAAAGTAGAAGCTGAGATATTAGAAAAATATATTTAATTTTATGGCAGCCATTTTGAAATCTAAAACGGCCGCCATTTGTATGTTGAAAATACTGTAGGCTTATTTGAAATCCTTGTCCTAATTACTAGAAGCCCATATAGTACCAGATGTGCTTTGGAAAAATAATAATTTCATCGATTTGTAAGATCTATTCCATATCCATTATTTTTTAAAAGATTGACAGTGCTACTCTGCCAATGGTGGATGATGACAACTTAAAAAGAGTTTGTGCCATTGTTGGGTGACTGGATTGCACTTCGGGCATTTTGCGAAAAGAATACAGCCCCGACGACACAGAAAGATACAATTCTTAAAAGATTGAAGGAGAAATTAGGAAAGAAAAGAAAATCCAGTGGTAGCTACGAGGATAAAACTCAACCATTTAGTCAAAGCACTCATCTCATCTTCTGGGAAACGGCAATGCCCGTAGGACAAAGCGGAAAATTGAAATTGGTTGGCCCCACTAATGTCCAACAACCTCAAAATTCAAACAAGTCCGAAAACAAAATGGTGGAGGCACTATGTATTTTACCGTATCAAAAACTATGGGAAAAAGTGAGCTCCTTGATGTAGCAAACGGAATTTCGCCTAAGGGTAAATTAAATGAATTCAATGCAGAAATATGTGATTTTAGGCAATACCCGCTAGCTGACGATATTAATGTAGGGCAATTCTGTATGCTGAAACAAAAATGAATGTCCTCAGATTCTATTGGAAGACCATCCATGGCTTCAAATGATGAATTGCCAGATGACCACACAGAGGAGCTAGATAGCCGTACTTCAGTAGATTTAGATGAGCCTTCTTGGCTTGATGCGGAAACTATGTGTTTATACCATCAACATCATAGAACAACCAGACACGCCAACGATCACATTTCGTCGAACGTGTGAAACAACAATTAATAACTTAGACCCAGATGACACATCCCAGAGGCCGATGTCGGAATCTTGGTTGAAACAACATCAGTTCAACAGTCGATACGATACGATACGATACGATTTATTGGGTTCACTTTTAGATCAGTGGCACCCATCACTTAGACGGTGCACCCATTAACAATATAAAATATAAGCAAAGGAAAGCAAAAGACAGTTCAAAAACAACAAAAGGATAAATAGCATAACAAAAACAAAACCAAGCAATTTACAGTAAAATTTTACCCTTATTCTCTAAAAAGAAAAATTCTTACTAAAATATGTTAAATAAACTGAATGAAATACACTGAGCTGCACAACAACCTGTAAGTCGTGTGAAGTTACCGGATTATGTATTTATTTTATTTATTTATTAATTTCCTTTTTCTACGGACAAGGGCAGAATTAAAGTCAAATTTAGTAAAATATTACAGGTTCTTGTACAGGTCATTGCTCTTCATCCAAGCAATATAAAGGTATTTTTTACAATATTTGTCGACGATATAACTTGCATCATTGTAATCAGAATCAACCAAATTGTATTTAAGGGGAAATTCATTATGGATAGACAGGTCATCAAAGAAAAGATGGTGTCTAAAATTTGCTAAACTAGAAGTAAACATATCCCAAAATATATCAGTCGGACACTTAATAAATAATGAAACCACAATCTCTATATCTGTTAGGAACTGTCCTTGCTGCTGGATTCTAAACACTCAATGGTTACAATATGCCTGGCATGATTTTATTGACCTCAGAACTTTGTACGAGATTGGAAAAAAGACACATTTCCTTTATTTTTGAGTGTCTATTAATAATGAAACCACAATCTCTATATCAGTTAGGAACTGTCTTTGCTGCTGGATTCTGAACACTCAATGGTTACAGTATGTCTGACATGACTCTATTGACCTCAGAACATTTCCTTCATTTTTTGAAGTTTTCAAATTTATTTTTGAAAGTTTTCTTAATCAGTAATGGTACCACAATCTCTATATCTGTTAGGATCTGTGTATGCTTCTGGAATCTGAACACTCAATTATTACAGAGATTTGGGCATGATTTTAAAAGCGAAAAGTAGAATAACATTTTGAGTGACATTTATACTATTTCCACTAGGCACGCTTAACTCAGCGCACATGACAACCACGGTATAATTTTGCCCTAATTCTGGCAACGCTGATGCAAAGTTGTTGACAATGTACAACCTGGAGTGTAAGATGGTGCACCGCGAAGACGTTAACCGTCCTAACTAATAGTTAATTAACTTAATTAGAAACCATAATTGTTGGATAATAAGTGGATTATAGGAAAGTAAAATCATCTAGGAATGCATTAGTATTGAATAATTTAAGTGTTAAACATTATTTCTTTTCTTTTTTTTCCGGGACAAATCTTGTATCTCTGAAAATTGTTTATTTTCATGAAATTTTTGCTACTTTCTTGTCAGGTTTCAATATTTATCTAATGATAAAATTATGCTGATTATTTTCAATGGAATCTTTTTTGAAAGTTAAGATTCATTAATTATTTTTTATTTAAATCATGATTAAATAATTAACACATAATGTAATCATCATTACAATGGAAAATGAGATGAAGTTGATTGACCGCGATGAAACATATACGTGTGACAACAATGAAACACATCCTGAAAAAAAGTGTACAAGAAGCATGATTTGGTATGGAGAAGCACTTTCATTTGTTATAAATGAAGATAATACATTTTCCAGATAGATATAAAATTGTCTATAGATTTAATTCTTGTCTTGTTATTAAACCAAGCTTTGTTGCGCAAAAGCCATCAAGGATCCGCCAAAACAATAATGGTATATATGTTACTATTAAAAATGTTAATGAAAATACAAATAAAGATCCCGGTATAGGCCTATAAATTAAGGGAATATCCATGTCGGAGTAGGGACGTTAATCCAATAAAAAAATCCTATTGACCACCGGGTAGAGGTTTTGTTTGAGTTGTCTGCTGGGCCAAGTAACCAGTTAAAAATACTTAACTCATTAATTATTATTATTATGTACACGGTCGCCGGGCGCATTGGTGTGCGTGTGCACAGCGGCCCGGCGAAAGGAATGGACGACGTGCCTGGGAAAAAGACGTGGATCGTTGGTGTACAATTCAATGATGGTTTTGCAAATAATTACACTATTCTGAGATAGACAGTCGATTGACTGTAGAAAGTATCATGATTTCCAACCACAGGGTAGTACTGAAGCAACGACCAAGTATGTTATATGTAATGCCATTCACATCACTGTCTGACAAACTGGCCTGGCCTTGGTGATGTGAATGGTGTTCTTCAAAACGGGTCTGCTGCTGCGCTATCGTAGGTTGATCTAGGCCTAGGGAATAGGCCTAGATCTACCTAGGCCTAGGCCTATAGATAAGTTGGCCTAGAGTCCAGAAGACCGAGGCTAGGCAGGCGCTAATACGGTTTCGCATCCAGTAACGGTTACCACATTATTTATAACTTACAATTATTCAACACTAAAAAACATGTTCTTTGATTGATGATTTGACTTTCATGTAGGCCTAGGCCGAAGACACTTATTATTCAATAATTACTGTATGGTTTCTAATTAAGTTAATTAACCAATAGGCCTAATTAGGACGGTACTGTATATTGTAACACCCAATCGCTCAACACAATCAACTCTTCTCCGCCGCACCATATGGTCGATGACAGTAGTTTTCCATCGTCTGTCATATAAATTATAATTTGTACCAAATTTAATTTTTGTGACCAATTATGTGACTTTTTTCTGGAAACTTGTATGTATTGTTTTGTAGTTTGTCTCTTTTTAGTATGCATTTTTTTTTTATGAAGATAAAATAAAAGTCATTAATACTATTTCCACTAGGCACGCTTAAATCGGCGCACATGTATGTATGGCAAACACGGTATAATTTTGCCCTGATTCTGGCAACGCTGCAAAATTGTTGACAATGTGCTACTACAAGCTGGAGTGTAAGATGGTGCACCGCAAAGATGTTAACCGTCCTAATTAATGGTTAATTAACTTAATTAGAAACCATAATTGTTGGATAATAAGTGGATTATAGGAAAGTAAAATCATCTAGGAATGTATTAGTATTGAATAATTTATGATATTATTAGTGCCCTAGAAGCCTATGCAACAAGTACCAGGGATCAAATATAACCAAGGAGGTATAAAAAAATAAGCCTTCCTGATATAACTATCAAAAAGTTGTTGGTATGTGACCTTGGAGGTTGTGATGTATATTTTAATCAATAATATCAGGGATGTATAAAAAATAAAATATTTTTATACCTCCCTTACTATACGTCTACTGGCCTAGCACCTTCCTTTTGTGCCTTTTTTTTAAACAAATAAATGCATTTGTTAATTTGAAATTTTCCGGCTTCAACATGTGGGCAGTGGACAATATGTGCAACTTTTATTGTGCATATAAAATGCGTAAAATTAAATAAACAATTTTTACTCGGTATATTTTGCTGTAGGTTACAATACTCCACCATCTGAAGGAGATTTCCACTATGAAGAGTGTCCTATCCCAGAAATCGATGATGGACAAATCCTGGTAAAAACCTTATACCTGTCAATGGACCCATATATGGTAATGTTAAATTAACCCAATGCTTTTTTAAATTAATGAATTTAGCATATTTAGGTTGTTGTTTATTAAATATGGGTGCTTAATTCAAATGGGGTGCTTATGAAAACAGAGTGGAAATTGAGGAGGCGCTTATGGAAGTAGACAAAAATTGAGGGAGTGCTTATGGGAACTTAAAATATTCAAAGTGCGCTTTTGGTATGAAAAAACAGATTATATAAAAGGCAAAGTGTGGCCCGACAGAGATTTTTTGCAGCCCACAAAAATGAATTAATAACCCTGTATGTGCGGCCCGCCAGACTTCTTTGGCTAGAATTTAACACATTGTTTTTTATGGCACAACACCGACCATCTCTAAAAAGTAGTATCGACCAATTTTTATGCCCACCCCTGATCTAAGGACATCTGGAAACCGAAGATAGACATATGGTTCTGGTGCAGAAAAGATAATTGTCCAGAGAGAATGGATCATGACAAGAATGCTGTGGGTTATTTGGTGGTGGTCGTGGTGTTAGCTATCTGCAGATTGAGATTAGTAAGATCATTGCAGGGTTTCTTGCAAACTCAGATGAGAAAGTGCTGAAGGTGCAAATTGTAGGGAAAAGAAATATAGAAGGAGGACTAGTCATTCTTGGCTGATTCATTGCCAAATGTAGGAAGAGCAAAGTTGAAAAGATGCTGTCCAGGAAGCTCTGATCTGTCCAGGATCTAGGAGAATAGTGGCGGTGCTATGGGGGTTCCCTCCCACCCGCATAATCACATCAATCGCTTTAGTGAAGTTGATGCAGGGCATTTGTTTATCCGGTAGTGCACTCGTTATTTATTTTCGAAAATTTCTTTCTAATGAATTGTGATTTCGATAGTCTATTTAAGGTGACGACTCTATCCAAGGTGGATGGTGTTCTTTTTCCAAGCCTAGTGTATTTGGTGGCATGGAACATAAGCTGTTTGAACAAGGATCAGTTTTGTTTCTGCATATGATATGTGAGATCCAATTATGCTGCAGTTGATGATAATAAACCTATCATTTTTAATGAACTCTGTTATTCAATTGCAAATGGAAGAAAATAAATGTATTTTTGAATTGAATTGAATTGAATAATCTGTGATTTTTGAGGTTTTAACAATTGCATGTAATCTGTTGTTGTTAATGACATAACCCCAGTCAGCATGTTCATTGTTTGCGTTGTGATTCAAAATTTGGAACCTTCTTATAATTATTAAGCCATCTACAAGATAGATATCAATTTTATTATAAAAAAAATGTGTATGTTTCTATTTGTGGCAAAGGCAAACCAAACAGGTTACTCCTCGCAAAAAAAAAAAAAAAAAAAAAAAAAAATTTCAGCTATAACTACAGGGCTTAACAGTAAAATGAGAGCTATAAAATGGTGAAATAATCATTTAAATCCGTCATTTCATTATGAAGTTACAGGAGTTTAAACATACCGCTGTTTGAAGAACAATATTTGAGAAGTAAGCCTTCCAAGTTTATGATTTCAGATATTTCTCAGACATACGTAACCTCCTTGGTACTTGTATAATAAGTGACTGCGACAATAGTAATAATGTGTAATACAGTGGAATCTCCGAACTCTGAATGCCCAGAAAACTGAATTTCACACTAAACCAAAGTCCCAAATTCGTTCTTATCCTTCCTTTAATAAAATACTTCCAAAAACCTTTCTGGACGTTATATTCAGTCCGGAACACAAAATTCCACTTCTACAACTGAACAAACAATAATAAACAACGATTTCCGGACGATATAAAGCAAAAATCGTCACTAGGAATTAACAACTAGGCCTAGAATAACCCCCTGTGAATGAACCGTTCGTACAGCTAGCGCAGTCCCAGTGGAGTTGCCACAGAGATCATCTATTGATTAAAATGACAAGCCAGTAAAGGTTAATGTTAGATAAAGTTTCTACTATTTTTCAGTTTAATTCGGATCCAATGGGGGGTCGGTATTGGGAGAGAGTGCACTTTGATTCAATGGAAAACTGCTATAATGTACAATAATAATGTTGTGTTTTGAAGGTAGATACTAAGTTGACTGGGAAACACTACTCACTGATGTTGAGTTTACTAGGTCTGCCAGGCCTAGCTGCTTTTATTGGTATACGTCAGAAGGCACACATCAACCCAAAAGGCAACCAGACGATGATAGTGAGTGCAGCGGCAGGAGCGTCTGGTTCAATGGCTGTTCAGGTAATTGTTCATGTTATTGAAATGACCCACAATTATCTCCTTTACAACAGGAAGAGCCTGTATCAAACTTACTCAGTTTAAGCTCACCCTTTTAAACACAAAATTGGTTTAGTTCTTGATTACCAGCTGGAAGACTAACCTGTATCTGGATAAATATTTCTTTTAAATAACTTAGCCTATGAGGATTTTGTTTAATATTGATCAGTCAAGCAATCAACCAATCAATCAAACAATCAATTCATCAATCAATTAAACAATCAATCAATCAATCAAACTATCAATGAGTCAATCAATGAGTCAATCAGTCAGTCAATTAGTCAGTCACTCATCACTCAACCAATTAATCATTCATTCATTCATTCATTCAATCAATCAGTTAGTCAGCCAGTCAACCAATCAATCAATCAATCAGTCAACCAGTCAAAAAATTAATCAATCAATCTAGTCCAGCGTTCCGCAAACTTTTTACTTCGCGGCCTATTTACAATTCCAGGCACCAAGCTGCGGCCCAGCAGCCCAGCCGCACCAGGGACCAACATACCAAATCTACCAAAATACCAAAGAACTTTTGATCATGAAGCCTCCATGTATACAATATTTTACTATACTTACTATACAGTTATTATGTTTAGTAATAAAGCACATTTGCATTCGGTTATCAAGAAATGTGTGGTGTTGTTTACTGTAGTGATCTTTCTAGGACAGGTCTTATTCCTCCATACCGGATTTACTCGATCTTACATGGTTAATACTAGACGATAACATAGTTTCTAGCTTCCGTGGGGGCATAGACACAAAAACCGCTTATAACTCAAATAGCATGCACCATCTGTCACTTTAGCAGCGTGTGCAAGCAACGCATCCGTTGTAACAATGAAGCGGCTTAAAAACTATTCTCTCCATGGTGAAACGTCTTTTATTTTTATTTCAATTTCCAGACAGCTTCTCAGCCCTTCAAAAATGTTTCGCGGCCCAAATTTGATCTAGTCAATCCATCAGCAGCCAGTCAACCAATCAATCAATCAATCAGTCAATCAATCAATCAATTCAATCAGTCAGCCAGTCAACCAATCAATCAATCAATCAGTCAGTCAGTCAGTCAACCAACTAATTAATCAATCAATCAATCAATCGGTAAGTCAGTCAGTCAGTCAGTCAATCAATCAACCAACCAACCAAACCGTCAGTCCACCAATCAGTCAGTCAATATATCTAGCAATCAAGCAATCAATTTATCAGTCAGTCAGTTTCCAGATAGAGACTATAGAATAGGCCTTCCGCATATGGTTGTGCTTAGAGCATTTTGATGCCAAATTCTAATGCAGTTTATTTTATGCTTTGTGTTCAATATACTTGTAGATTTGAGAAATCACTAAAAATTTGTACACTAGAAACCGCTTTACTACTTTTCTAACATGAGCCAGAACATTGCTTTAGATTTCTAAACTTGAAGGTTGCAGTAGAGTTGTTGGCATTTGTGGTTCAGCAGAAAAATGCAAGTTTGTCACGGAGGACCTAGGTGCTAATGATGCCATTAATTACAAGAGTGAAGATGTGGACAAACGACTTTCTGAAACCTGCCCTCATGGAGTAGATATATATTTTGATAATGTCGGAGGTGAAATAAGTGAGGCTGTTATCAACCATGTAAGCAAACCATTTATAATATGAAGAAATAATATGAAAGAACTAGGTGGATCTCAGTGCAGGTTTCCCTCTAATTAATGACCACTTGGGACCAGGGTTTTCAAGGTCTTTAGCAGCTTTGGATTGGATTCATTCAGTGTAAACACCAAGGATGGCCTATGAAAGTCTAGAATAAGGCTTACAGTATTTCCAGTGGGGGTCCTTCTGGTGGTGATTGGGCAGTACACCGGGAGACAGTCCCTTACTCTTTTCCGAAGAGTGTACTGCATTCTTTAACGTGCACATGGTCCATTGTGCACACGGGACCAGCGGATTAAACTTCTCATCTGAAAGACAGTGCACTATTGTAACTTGTATTTCAACCCTTCAGCTGAAACACAAGGAGAGGCAGCAATGGGAATTCAAACGGCGACCTAGAGGTCTCCACGGTTCAGAGCACACACAATGGCTACCACCAGATTAGCCGACTGAGCTAAAGCTGCTATGGTCTTTAATTAGAAATATTATTATTATTATTATTATAAAGTTAAAAGATATAAATTCATTTGGGGCTACAGAAAGGTGGTCTCTAATTGGAGGGGTCATTAGCATATTATTCTGATTCATCATTGTCATCATTATCATCATCATCATCGATTATTGAAAAACAATAAACAAACTTATTGTTTGTATACTGTAAAACCTTAAATGGAAGCCATGAGCTTCTTTTTTTTTTTTTTTTTTTGCAACCTGTGGATGGGCTTCTTTTCAAGATGTGTGTCTTTTCGAGATAATGCTTCTTTTCGAGGCTACTTTTGCAAAGTAAAGAGGGTGCAGTGGCTTTTTTTCAAAATAAATGCTGTAAATTTTTCTACTATAAAACAATAAATAAGGCCACTGTAACAACAGTCTATATCATGGCGTGTATTAAGAAGCATTAAATCACCTAAATCTGTATAAACCAAGCATGTTTTCAACTTATTTTGTTTTGTTTAAAATTCATGTACAGTGTCTTTTATACTGTACTATTAATATTTTTGAGGCTACTTTTGCTACTTTTATTATTATTATTATTATTATTAAATATTGTTATTTTATTATTATTGTTGGTATTATTAATTATTGTATTATTCATTTATATATCTGCATACATTTTAGTATAAAAATGTCAACAAAGTTGTTTTTTCCACAGATTTACAATGTGGTGTACAGATTTTTAGTAGTTTGAAAATTGTTTTTGTATTATCAGACAAATTGTGTATATTTTAAGAACACTCACAACAACAGCCTGTAATTTGAAAACATTTCATTTTGGTCAATTTAGATGAATGATAATGGACATGTGGTGTTGTGCGGACAGATTGCAATGTACAACACGGACCAGGAGTATCCGCCCCCACTTGCAGACGACATCCAAGATCTTGTCTGCTCTCGGGACATCACCAGAGATCGTTTCCTTGTGCTTAACTATGTGGAGAGATTTCAAGCCAGCATTCTGCAACTACACAAATGGCACAAAATGGGCAAACTAAAGGTGATTTGATTCACTTGTATAAGCCACCTTGTAGTTTGAACTGGGCATGCCCATATCAAAGGTCAATAAACATACCGTAAAACCTGGAATAGAAGGCTAGTGGGCTTAATCTTGTGAAGAAGCTGATATCAAATTTAAGCCCCCTTCTTTAGTAGCCTTGAAAAGAAGCCCATCACAAAAAATGCCTGTGGGCTTCTTTTTATGATAGAATGGTCTTTTTTTTTAGATAATAACTGTATATACACTGTACATGAATTTCAAAGAAACAAAATAAATTAAAACAAGCTTGGTTTATACAGATCGGCTTCTTGGTTTATAAAAGTTTGCAAAGAAAAAGAAAGAAGCCCAGGGCTTCAATTCAAGGTTTTATAAATTAAAATTAGGGAAGGTGGTTCAGCAGCCACTGCAATATATGTGGCAAAGACAAGCCAAACCAGTCACTCGTCGCAAAAATCGATTTTGAGTTATTAATACAGTGTTAGAGAGTAAAATAATAGCTATAAAATGGTAAAAAAAATCATTCAAATCGGACATTTCTTTATCCACACAGCTGTTTAAAGAACAATATATGAGAAATTAACCGTCAAAGTTTATGATTTCAGGCATTTCTCATGCAGAAACCATCTTTAAATCCTTAAAAAGTATTGTTTTAACATTGAAAATGGGGAAAATAACAGCATAGAATGATGTGTAGATATATAAAGGTTAGTTTAGTGCAATAAAATAGATTTTTTAAAATTTGACATTCCAGCATGTTTTGGCCATTTTCTCTACGATTTGCGACGAGTGACTGGTTTGGCTTGTCTTTTCCACATATTAAGCAGGAAACACACTGTGTTGTCCGTTAGAGGAGGATCCAGAATTTTTTAAACCGAGAAACGGGGAAATTGGCTGGCAAAGGGCACCAAATTTTGAGAATAGATATTAAGTGGGGGGCATAATGAAGAGATAAATTGTACCTATTATTATGTTTTGTATCTCTATGTTATGTCACATTAGTATACATTGAAATTTGAAATGGTAGTGGAAAACTTTGGGTGGGGTGGGGATGCATGTGCGCCTGTGAACCTATTCAATCTGCCCCTAGCTGTCAAATTCATTAATTTAATTGCCAAGTTGATTGGCCGAGCGGTTAAGTCAGGGGCACCGCAACCTTCAGCTCCAATATTGGCGCTGGTTCGAACGGCTCACTCGCCAATGGTTCCGGTTGTACGGAACAAGTCTTCTTGGATAAGGACATTAAACCGTAGGCCCAGTGTACACATTTGGCTCCTGTACACTTTAAAGAACCCAGTACATCATTCAAGAAGAGTAGGGGGTTACCCCAGTGTACTGGTACAAGTCCCCTGTTGTTAAACCTAGGATAGTGATTAAGTTCACTTATTGGCATATCCTTGGCGCCCGTGCCTAGAGAAATGAAATGAAATTCCCCTCCGTGTGGATAATTGATGATGCAACGCTGTCTGATGATTGTCAGTGGCATTTAGGTGGACTGTTTTGTGGAATTATGAAAATATTGATTTCATAGATATAGCAAATGACTCCAAAGCAATAAATACAACTTTAATTTCTTTTAATTTGCAGTGTAGAGAATCTGTAGCCAATGGATTAGATAAGGCACCTCAAGCTTTCATTGCAATGATGAGTGGTAAAAACATCGGTAAACAAATAGTCTACATTGCTGACCCTTGATGGTACCATGATGACAGCAAGCCACCTATCAACCAGTGTCTCAAGAATACCCCAACACCATATTGTCTTCAGAAACTGTATATAGTGTATAAATATTGACTGCTTGTGAGGGGATTGTTAAATCTATTGCCCCAAGGTGATGTGGAGATCGTAGCCTATCTCCCCGAAGGCCTGAGGGAAGGTAGTTTACGGTCCCCACATCACCGAGGGGCAATAGATTTCACCGTTCACCAAATCTAGAGCAGTAAATATTTGTTATATATACCTCATACATAGATTCTATGATGCCTAAAAAGTACTTACTTCTCAGCCTAGCCTCCCTAGAGTCCTACAACTAAAGGGCCTAGCTATGCCTAGGCTAGGTGATCAAAGAGTGTGTCAGCTATTCTTTGCTCATTTTCTCAATTTCAACACATCGTCTTGCAATATAATTTGTCTTTTGGTACTTTTGCTATCGGTATGTGCTAGTCCACCATCCAGGAGCTCGAACGGACAGCCTCCATAGTTATTGTCATCTACTCGCTGATCCGTGGCGTGTCAAGGGCCAATATCTTTTATCATAGACGTTGCATTCACCTTTACCGTCAGCGCGAATCACCGCGATGGTGGGGCCTAGAATTAGCACCACGCGACAGGTTAAAGAAGTATATTTTTCAGAAGAATAGTGCTTTTTCAGGGGAATAGTACTTTTTCAGTGGAATAGTACTTTCTGTTGCCCGCTTCTTAACCAATCAGATGCCTAGAATCTATGTATGAGGTATATAATATATTATATTTTGAATATCTTCACATACTAATGGTATTATATGTTGTGACCCAACTCTTGGTCATGCCATTTGTGTGTACTATAGAAATGCTGTACTTATTTACGTATGTATCTTGTACTAGAAGGCTTTTAAAAATGTTCATTAAAGATTCATATGCTGGGACGGGGAGGTAGTTGGGTGCGAAAATTGAGAATGCGGAACTGGGAGTGCGAAAATTAAGAATACGGAACCAAATCCATATTCCAATGAAACCTTAACGATCATTTTTAGTATTTTAACTCACTTAGTGGAATTTGTTGCTATAAGGTGAGGGGATAGGGGTGTATCCACACCCTCTTGCTTACACCCATGTATTGCATACTGAATGCAAATAAATACATGCCAATTTTCTGAGATTCAACAGGTGAAGCAATAAGAGTCACAGTATTGAGTTTCAACATTATGACATGTAATTTTTTCCTTGGCGGATGCATTTCAGTGCTTTCTTATCTGAAATTAATCAGTGTACTCCTCAAGTTAAAGCCCCATTCCCGGCAAAATTTCACTAAAAACTGACTTTTTTTTTAGAAAATATGCGTTTGCATTACTCCAATTATTATAAATCATGGAAAAATATTGGCATGAATTTTAGTTTTACGCAAAAGAATAAAAAAAATGAGAAATACAGACTATTTCTCATAAAATATTACCATTTTCTCGACGAATTCATCGTTACTAGGTAAATTCAGAGGTTGTAGATCGCATCCACTGGAATACTCTCGCTTTTATGTATACTTTATATACAGTCAATAAAGTGCGCCCTCTCTAATGAGATTAGTTTTTGTACTTCGCATCTCGCACAATGCGGTCATTCTATTAGGCTGAAATATGTTTGTTTAAGTGTCGAAATCTGTCAGAATCAGTTTTTTAACAAATTTGAAATAATTCCTATGAAAAATTATATTTCACAAGTGTCAATACCAGCAACTGAAAATATCATGTCGGCCGTTTTTATGTGTGATAACAGTACCTAAATAGAGGTAAGTCTAGGCCTAGCCTAGCAGCGTTGGATAGGCTAATGT